TCTTTCTACAGTCTCTTTTCGTATATATATTAGCGGCGATGCGTTTTCATAACCTATAATTCAGTTTTCATAATTTACTCTTACCAATTAATTATTATTGTATATTCTCATGTTACTTTATCATATTTTATTTAAAGAAATCGAATGTGAAGGTATTTTCAATTTTAGCGTCCAAAGAGGCAAGAACTCTTAGAATTAAAAAAATGTGGAGCGGGGCTGTTTCCTTATGGCTCGCATGTCAGTTCGATAGGCTTCGCTTTTATGATGTTAATTAAAACGTAAATTCTATGGATAGGTGTTTAGGCAAGTTTTTAAATTATACCTTACCTCTTTATTTTTCATTAGATATTCAATTGAGGTTGGTTATTTTAAATTTGGTTTTAAATTTAATTTAAATTTGGCTCGATTCACTTGATTAATCTTTGATTTAAACTTCATTTGATCAATCTGATTAATCTTCAATTTAAATTTGATTCGACCAATCTGATTAATCCTCAATTTGAATTTGGTTTGATTAATCTGGAGGAAGCTTTCAGGCCCCCGTTTAAATTCGTCAAGTCACCTGAATTCAAGCAATTCAGAGCCTCTCCAGCTTTCGTTAGCTATCGACCAAATGGCCTTCCGCAGACTTGTCTCTATGTTCAAATAGCTATTATAGTAGCCGTCCGTCGAAGCTACTGCTGCGTACAAATGGTCACTATAATGCATACGGGCCATATGTGTCACGCGCGAACAATATTCGCTGGCGAGGTAACAATAAATTATTCATCATGGATAATAACCATAATGCTCATTTATCCGTTATCCTAATGAATAAATTTCATTTCGTTCGGATATTTCGAACAAAGAGTGGAATGTTCTAAAGAAGATTCAGTGCGAGAATCCATTTCGAGCATTTGTCTTTTCCTCTTAATTCTTTCGGCCTTGTCCGGGGAAGTGATAAAATTTCTTTTCTCAATTTTCCCGAATTTTTCGACTGAGAAACTGAAATACAAAACGAAAGGAATTATAAGAATATCTTATTTTTTAAACTATTTATGTATCTACACAAAAATAAGATATTCTTAATTATCTAAAATAAGATAATTTTAAGCTATTTATGTATCTACTTTGCGAATCCAAATCGATATAATTTCCTTGGAGCGATGCAGAAAAATCACTTATCAAAAACTAACGCTCAGGTATAACATCTTTTTTTTTTTAAAGATCTAGAAATTAGGTTAATCGAAAGGGTTAACGAAACTAAAAAGAAAGTTTTTGAATTGGAGAAAGAAAAGGGGAAAAAGATTGCACCGTGAAAATATTTCTATTTGATGGCGAAAAGTTTCAAAGTGTCATCTACGTTACATCTCCAATGGACGTGTAAAGATGATTGTTGGCAAAAATCGTCTAACTGCGCGAAAGATTTGCCACCCTTAACTTTGATAAATTCCTCGGCTATTATCCTAACGGTCACCATCGTTCTGTCGCGCGTGACCGAGAATCTTTCTCGCAGGAGATCCTCGGCAATTTCCCAGAAAGCTTTCGTACATTGAACTTGTCGCAAATTCGCAAGAAGATACGGCCTAATTGCAAACTTTTGAACCAGCGCACATCAGAGCAAGTTCTTGCTCGTGAATTACGTTTTACTGGTGGAAGTTTACGATTCCACGTCTCGATATCAAATCTATCGTTGGCAGATCGTGCCTAAACAGTTTTATTGTCCTACGAAACATATTCTTTAGATCGTCCATTTTCCCCCCAAAATTCTCAAAATCCATGAAGCTTTAGTTGATACCGAAGTCAGAATTGAAAGTTTCTTCTCAAATTAAAATTGATCGATAAATTCTAGAATCCAAAATTCGACTTTACATTTCTATAACACGTACGTGTATAATAAATCTGAAATAATTTAGAAGACTTGAACGCATTTGCAACAGCTAAATGTTTTCCTAAAAGTTATCGAATTATCAAGGTGCTGGCGGAGGAACGTTGTGTTAAGTGAAATAAACTTAAAAATTTGTTAATTTTAATAATCGGAGCTGATTGAATTGAATTCTTGGTCTCAGATACGAAAAATTCGACGCGGCGGGGACTCTGTGATGCGTGTTTTCAAAGTTCGACTGTATTTTGTATTTCCACTCACGCGTGTTGCCAGAGTGTACGAAATAAGAGTAAAATTTCGCCGATAGTTCGGCGCGGCGCACGAAACCCGCCATGGAAACTCGGAACACTTGCATGGAAACGACGTTAGAGCCAACGGTGTTGAATAGTAAGAGTAATCACGCTATTTCTTGCACAATCGTAATGTTACCGGTGCACGGTACATTTAAGCCAAAACTTCCAAAACTTGTGATATATCCATCTTTCTTGGTGAAAGCCGGTAATGTACGCCTGTTTACGGTACCGCGTCTCGCGTTTTCAAGCTTAAGCGATGTAATAAGTGTTTGCATGCCGTACCTCGCGAAGATAACTCCGATCACATTTCAACGTCATCCAACACGGGCCAGCAGGACTCTGAGAAATCGACTGGCCTCGTATCTTCGTCTTCCTGTTCTTTCTCTTTCCTTTTTTTTCTCTCTTTTTTTCTTTTCTCTCGACGAGTCAAGATCGCTCGATATATTTCAGCCGGGAGAAATGAATGATTCGCGAAGGCAGATTGAACATACCGATCGACTTTAATAACTTTGGAAAAGATATATCGAGATATATGAGATAAAAACACCACTTTCTCTACTTTTTAAACACGATACGACGTTGTATACGTGGTGGGATAAAAAGGAAACACAGCCTGAGTATATTTTTTTTTTGTTTCAAGATCGATATGTATTTTTATTTAGTAGAAGAGAGTGAGAAAATGTCACGATTTGAAAAGAGAGAAAGAAGAAAATAAGAGAGAGTCACGTGGAATCATAGAATTATTCGAGCAAAAGGTTGCTTTTCAACTGAAAATTATAAAAATCATAGTACATGCTATTTCATTCGCACGTCCGTACTTCAAACTCTTTCTCAACCCTTCCTGACTGCATCAAAAAATCCGCCATCGCCTTAACAGAGCAATTACTTTGATAAATCTCCGAGTTTCACATCCTTCGTTCCTCTAATCCTCCACCACGCTGTGTCTCCTTTCCTCTCGGACGAGGTAGTGTTTCCTTCGCAAAACAAAGTCGAACACACACATCTCGTTGAGTCTCGTGACAACGGCGATCTCACCCGATCTAACTAACCGCGAAGCTAATAACATCGCCGAGACGAGAAATATGAAGCTGCTGCAATCTCATAATTGACAACGAGGGATCGTGTAACGACATTCGTGTGACCGCGTGACAAGTCCAATTATCCAACGAGTTGTTCCTCTCCTCCTCCACCCTTGCTTGCTTGCGCAATGTTCCAATCTACTTGGGAACAGCCCTTAAGCACGCGTTTCGATTGTTAAGAGCCCCGGACTCTCTCTCTGGTCGTTCTCGTTCTGTTTCGTGCACGTGCACCGGTCGTTTATTCGGTTTATCGGCGAGAGCCAACGACGAACCGAGCCAACCGGGCCCTCTCGCCCCTTCTTCCTTCTTCTCGGCCGTGGCCACTAGCCCAGGCAGTTGGAAAATTCGCTCGCCGTGTCGAATTATTTCGGCAAACGAACTGTCGAATTTATTTTCGAACCGATTACGCGAACCTCGGCGAGCACGCGTTTCATTATGTGCATTAAAAGAGCGGCCAACGTATCGTTCTCCACCGATTTTACATTTACACGGGGAGAGAACACTTGGCGGTACAAGGTATTTCTTTTTTCCATAATTATCGGAATCTTTTAGCAAATTCATCGTCACATTACCACTTCTGTTGTATGTTCGGCTATGTTTGTGACGGAACGATTATTGAACTAAACGTTGAAGCGTGTACTTGAGGCCATCTGTTTTTACGAATGTTAATACCCACTTGATTGACTGTATTCCATGCGAGTGGATGAATCGTTTTTTCGATGGGAAAAATTCGTTTCGAGCTGGATTTTAAACCGTTAGAACTTCGTTAGAAGATACAGTTGCGACGAGTCAATCGAGTTTGGTTTCGTTTCGAAACGCGAAGCCTCCACTTTGACGGCACACCCCTGTCGTTAGTATTTTTTTCAAAAATGTTTCCTTCGGTCGGCGTGGAAAGCGGCGAAGCGAGGATAATTTCGTTCTGGAAAAATTGTCGAAATTCAAATTCTGCAAACGTTCGAAAATGTTTCCCGCGACTAAGTTTCTCGCCGCGTTGGATCCTCCTTGGAAATTTGCTGTAATTCTTCCTCAAATCTTTGCTAAAAATCCACACGTTCAGCGACCATAAAGTCGTTGTTAGCTCGCGTACCTTTTTCGCCATTTTTCAAAACAACTATTCTGTGGTTCCTTGAGTAGATGAGTAGAAAAAATTTTTGACTTTGAAATTCAAGGTCAATGTTCTTTACACTTACCATTAAATTGCGTGAATTCATCTACGATAGCCACGGACAAACTTTTCTTTCTACCCTGTGCTTTTGCGCCGGTACATCGAAATTTTCAACACGCATGCGCAGCTAACAAATTAACATTACAACGGTGGAAAGTACCGCGCGAAACATCTAAAACTGGCAACTCTGTGTAACGCCGATGTTTCATTCGCGATAATGTTTGATTCGTGGCGCGTTGCGAAACGCGTTTGAACAGAGGCGCGCATTACACGAAAGCAATTGTTAAGGTGTAAAATGCTTCGGCGAACGAGCAGGAGGTGGGTGGAGAGAGGAGGGATTTCGTAATTGTGCGCTTTATTCGCGCGATTTTCACCGCGCTCGCGGTGGATATAAAGTTCCAAACTGTTTAATCCGCCGACAGGCGGGCATTCTCTGCGCGATGAAAAACAGAAAAAAGGAGCAAGGGGCGGGGGAATGATGGAGCAGGGGGAAGAGAGGGGGGGAAAAAAGGAGCGATTGTTTCGTGTATTCGAACGCGGGACGCGAAATTCATACGTTAAATGGCGCTTTTGTCGACAAGAAAGCGTCGGCAAAATCGGCGCTTCCGATCTTTGTGCCCTCGTGGGGCAAAGTTGGAACCGGGAACCGTGCAATTAGCAAACGTTTACAATCGGTGGCAACGTGTAACAATCGGAAACCAGCTTTTTTTTCGGGTGAAGAACCGCGGATCGGCTGTAAACGCGTGCCGCGATTTAATAAAATTAATCGTGAACGCTTGGATTTAAAGCGTTACGGAAAGCTCGACGCTTTAGACATTTTTTTTTATCTTTTTTCAATCGCAGTTGCGAAATTTCGAATTTTAAAATTTCCCGACGAATTTCCGAATTTGATAACCGATTTTGCAATTTTACAATTTCATTCGTTGCATTGTTAATTCTCGTGGAAATGAAATAAATCGAGATTTTTTTTAAATACATATTTCGCCCGGAGGTAGGAACTTTTCGTTTAATTGTTGTCCAAGGCTTCCTCGGTTTTATTCATTTTCAATTTGTTGTTCTTACAATTAAAACTCGTTGTACAATTTCTTTTCACCGTGCTATTGTACATTAGAGTTAAAATAATTGGGTTAATCGGGAAATCTTAACATTTTATTACTCAATCCTATGCTCAACTCAATTTTTTTGTTTACATTTTAAAGATTGTGTCATCACTTTGTTCAGCGTTGAACGTTAGGAAATCCAAGAAATTCTACTGTTCAAAGTTCACTAAAATTGATAAAAATAATTTTGTACCATTTTCACACGCGTTTGAATTTCCACAAATTTCAAGAAAAAGAAGAAATTTCCATTTTCTCGCCATTATCTTGAAAAAAAAGAGAACCATCACTGTCAAAGTAGAGAATCTTCACGGTTCGAAACGAGACCAGGTGGATCGTCGTGTGATCTTCTTTTAGTTAGAAGTTAGAAGTTACGTCAATTGAAACTATCGACAATTTTTCACTGCCATTCGCACAGTTATGCTGCTCGCTGTATAAAATCTGCTCCAACGAGGGCCGATTACCTTTCACGCTCCGACCGTTTTCATTAACCCGTGAGACTCGGAGACCGACGTGCCGTGAAAACTGCGCCGCTTCGAAAAATACGAATGGAATATATCGGGCGGCGATCGATCTCGCGCTCGTCTCGCAACAAGAAACGAATATGTCAACGACGCCTGTTTCTTTCGTTCTTTCTCGATGCATTTTGTACAGGGTGGAAAGAAAAGTTTGTCCTTGGCTATCATAGATGAATCTTACATCTTCGATTTGATGGAAATAACCTGTCGTAAAATTGACCATGACTTTATGTTTCAAAATTTTTTTTTTGAAATTAGATTCTGCTTATGACGAAAGTGATAGGTAAAACTTTTCCAAGGAACAATAATTCTCTTGACAAATGGCAAAAAATTTTCTTAGTCATTTAACACTGCGAACGCGTGCGTTCTAACAGCGACTTTATAGTTCTGGACATGTGGATGTAATATTTATATTTCGAATCATGTTAACAGTTTGTTTTTTAAAATTTTTTTTTTGGAATTGGATTCTGCTTATCACGGAAGTGATAGATAAAACTTTTCCAAGGAACAATAATTCTCTTGACAAATGGCAAAAAATTTTCTTAGTCATTTAACACTGCGAATGCGTGCGTTCTAACAGCGACTTTATAGTTCTGTACATGTGGATATAATATTTATATTTCGAATGATGTTAACAGTTTGTTTTATCATTTGATTATTTAGACTCACACTGATGCTACAAACTATGATAAATCAAATGTGAGTGAAATCTAATCCGGAACCATAAAGTCGCTGTTAGCACGCACGCTAATGTTAAATGATTATGAAATTTTTCTGCCATTTTTAAAAAAAACTATCAGGTTGTGATTTATGGTTCCTTGAAAAAATTTTATTCTCGTGATGAGTAGAATATACTTCCAAAAAAAAATTTGATCTTGAAACTGAACTACTTTACATGTATTTCTATCGGATCGAACGTGTAGAATTCATCTATAATAGCCATGGATAAATTTTTCTCTCCACCCTATACAGTCATGTATGTGGACACGTTGGGGTACAATTATGAGATGAGAGAAGAAAGAGGACGTGTAAAAATGGGATATTTAAAACGGATTCTGGAGCTCTTCGTGCCTGGTTGTCACCGCGCTGTTTCAAATTGCTGTCTGCGATTTATCGTCGTACGATATTATTTCGTCCACTGTCCACAACGCGCCGTGGTTATAGACCATCATTTGTCTAGGGATTCACCAGGGATTCCGGCAGAGTTCGCCTTTTGTGATCGAACCAGTGTTTGCCGAGCAAAGTCATTGATGTGTCTGCTGTCAGAATTTGGAAATACGACATATATGATAATATTTGATCATTTCTCGCAGATAAATGTCTCTAAGTTTATATCCTATGTGAAATAACTTTGCGCGAGTAAAATAATAAAATAATTGTACCATATGGCATAGCATAGTGTAGTAAAATAATTTCAAGAGCGTAATAAGTCATTTTATTGTACTGCAACGTAGTCGATGAAATTATTACAGCAACGGTGATTCTCATTAATAATTCAGTATTCAGAGATTACTGTTCCACATCGAATATTTATTATTCTAATTGAAGTTTGTACTTTGTGTACATATACATATGAACATGTGAAGTTTATAATTCATTCATTTATTTTGCACTACGTTCAATAAAATACTGAGCAAAAGTTTTTCACAAAATTATTTCTTGTTAATACGTTGATGTTCAGTCGCAACCAGTGCGGTGGCAACTGATTGCGGACCATAACGAGTGACCGAACCGTGTACAATAATTCGTCCCCTTTTTTTTTTTCTTCTGAACCCGTCGGTATGACATCACTGGAAATAGAAATTATTGGGAAGTGATAAATTTATTATTTTAAAATTTTCAAATTTGTTATTTGTTTCGCCTGGGTTATAAAAATACTTAAAACTGAAAAAATATTGCAATTTTGGGACAAAAAATTCACGACGTACGTGGCACGTCATTCTAGCGCAAGAGATTAAGAATCTAGAAACCAGAGAGAGAGAAAGAGAGAGAGAGAGAGAGAAACTTGCAACAAAACTGATCGACAAACGCAGAGACTGAAAACGTCAATTGACCTTCTTCCTGGCTCGTCACTCTTGTCGGTGACGGCTTAACGACGGGCATTTTTACACTGTCATAACCTCGGATAACAAGTTCCCGATTTAGCCCAAGGGCCAGCCATATAATTCAACGTCGGCAACCGCCGCTGATCGCCTCTCGAAACTCTATATCAAATCGTAGACGGCCTACGCTCTTGTCTGTTCACACTATGCTCGCTAGATTGAACGTTTTGCACGCTCTCCCGCGTAAATATCAGCAGACGCGGTCGGAAAGTGGAGTCAGCTTCATCACTAGGATTCGCATACGAAAAGTATGCGCGTAGAGTGACGAGCAGAACGTGGAATTTTAACATGAACGATATTTTATGTTGGAATTTTCGAATGCAAAAGAAAGCAAGACACGGCGTTTCGTAAGATGTTTCAACTTTCTCGGCAAAGTTTCGTTACCATTACTGTGTCAAATAGGATACAAATTGTTCTCGTGGAGTCAATTTTTCGTCGCAATTAATTCAAATACTTTAAACTATTGTACAAGAATTATACTATTATATAGTAAATTATAGGAATATTGTGTAGTAAAGAAAACAGTCTATTTGGTCTCGTTTTAAAGGTGAAATTTTTATTTTGATCGCTCTGAATTCGTTCCGGAAAAGTGTTCTGTCTCTCGATAACAAATTGTAAAAATTTGCAATGAAAAATTTCATTTACGATCAAATTCGTCGTGATCCTGACGATTGAGTTTTCCCTTTTCCCAACCATCGTTTTAAACATTGGAGTCTCCAACTTTAAGACGATCCCTTAAAATTTGCTGCATGGATTTCTCCCCATCATTTTATCGAACGTTTGAAGAGAATCGAAGAAATTTTGACATTCAAAACTCAATAAAATAGCGGAGAAAAGTCGTACGGTGGTCGTTGTAAAGAGAAAAATTTCAATTTCCATTGAGGACTTAATTTTTTGATGTGTTCACGCGCGTTAAGATCGTTTAAAAAAAAAAAAAAAGAAGAAAACTAGAGAACAAGACTAGTGTCAAAGTAGAAACTTCGCACTCTGTGATACTGCCAAGTAGATCGTCGTGCGATTTTTTCTTTGTTTAAATCATCGTTGTTGACTCAGTTATGCATACTGACTACTTTTTTAGCGAATAATTTTCGCTTTTCTAAGCTGTCTTAGTCACTTATACAAATTGATAAATAAATTGTTCGATCATGTTGTACATGCTAAATGACCTCGTAACCGCATTCCGAGGGTTAGAAGAGGCTCGGCCGGTCAAAATTGTAATAATGATACATTATTCTTTTATTAGCCGTGCCCCTTGAAAGGCACATCTGGGAATTGCCAGCCTGCGGGAACTCCGGCTCGAACGTATTTCATTAATGGGAATAAGTTGCGCGAGGAAAGTGAGGTTCCACGGTCGAGGGCTAGGGATTTAAGGGTAGAAGATCTGTAGGGTGGTTTAATTGGCGGAAACGTTTGAAAGAGAGAGAAAGAGAGGGAGGATTCTGTTTCTTACGTGAGCGAGTGGGTGATTCTTTCGGATACAAATGACGGGTTTGCTGGACGTGATTTTGCGCGCACGGCTGGTTTAATTGCTAACGGTAGTTTAATCTTCTCTTGAAAGACTCAAGATTAAACGAGGATACGAGAATCGATATTTTCAGGCTGGAGTTTCTTTTTTCACGAACGTTTGCTTTACAATTTTTAAGACACCTCGCTTTGTTTCGATACTGTACGTAAGTTTCTCTTATAGGTCGAAACTTTCGTGACATTCTGTTGCGATGTTTCAGAAATCTACAGGGTGATTCTGGAATTACCCGTCATGTTTGTTACGCGAGAGAAAGTGTTTCAAGCCAAAGTGTTTTGTACGGCACAATTACATTGCAGGATACAATTTTTCTTTCGAAATATTACAGTAAACTCGTGCAAAATGTGAATAGAATTAGATAGTCCACCCCGTATATAAAAATCCAGAAATATACACACGCGCACAGAAATGTCAAATTGCTGTCTACGTCAAATATCTCGTATATTACCAATTTTATTTCGAACTTCATCGGTGCGTGTACATTACGGTGCTAATGAAATCTCATCAGCTAACGTTATGTTCCTCGAACATTTCCACGGGCATTTTTCAGTTGCTTTCACGAACGTTGCAGGTAATTCCAAATCCCATCACCGGTACACTTCATTTCCATACGTCGTCACCTCGCATCGGCGATCGTTCGTCCAAAACTTTCTTAAAAAAACCATTTCCATCGACGTGTTGCGCACGCGTGCACTCGCGAGACTCTCCGTTTCCGGATTATATTATACTCGCCGGCTTAGAATATTACGCGTCAACCGTTGGCAAGCTTTCTGCGATTACTTTCCTCGGCTCGCGCCGAGGAGGAGGAGGAAAATATTTTTCCCCGGGCAAAAACGAAACGTACACAAAACGTTGCCGGTACCAGAGGTCGCGCGCTCGCAACTCGATCTGATTTCCCCGGGCGAAAAATCTTTTTTCGAAGAACGATCGGTCGCCGACGTTTCTCTCGTCTTTTTTCTTTTTCTCTTTTTCCTCTGCGCGCGCGGCTGCGTCGATGGATTTTGACGCTTCGACTGAAATCCGGCCGCGTATAAAATCGACATCTGAAATTCCATATTCCGGCGGGCTGTCATAGGCGGCGGGGAGGTCGCGAGAGAGATATCCCAACTACGCGGATGCGCCCGCGTTAAGCCGCCGTGTAGCAATTAAACGATTTTCGAATTGGACGACGGCAATTGGATCTGCATGATGCGAGGCGAATTAAAATCAACCCTGCTCCCCCACCCTCTTCGGCGCCGAGGCGCCCCGTTTCCGAATGCTTTCGCAAATCAACGCGATGGGGGGGGGGGGGGGGATTGATACGCGTGTTAATGCTAGTCTTATAACGCGATACGGTGATAGTTTGAAACTCGTTTCGTTTTATCGTAATTATTCGTAAAATCGATTTCCGGTGGTCTGGACTGTAAGTTTCTTCTGTATACGGCAATTTTTGTCATATAATTGTTGTATTTAATACAATTACAATGTATTGTTATTACATATATGTAATATATTTAATGTATTGTTTAGTATAATTATTGAATTGCTTATTGTTGAGTGTATTAATATACTTATTGTACGATAGTAAGTAGAAGCGTAAATTTTATTCTCTTTATGCACGTAGATTTTTATGTATCAAGTGGAAACTGAATGCATAAACTGAATGACGAAATTTAGTGTCGAGTCGACCAGCAAGTTTCATCAAAGTTATATTAAATTTTATTTAATATTTGATTTTATTTAATATAAGATTATAATACATATATATATACATAGCACATTTTAATATATTGTTTGATATAATTATTGAGTTAATAATCGTCAATTAAAAATTATTGTACTTAAAGATTTCTCTATGTCATGCTAATAAAAAGTCGAGTCAACGAGTTTATATTTATTTATAAATAGATATAGTGACATGTGGAATGAAATTTAAAGTCGAGTGAGATTTACATGTACTTATGGATGTAAATATATCATCTGATATATATTTTATAATATTCGGTTTTAATATATATATACAATATATATTTTATATTATGTTATCCATGTCAAATATATATTATTTTAAACATATATACATTGCATACGTATATATTTAAAATTGTTTATTTTAATCTTTCGAATTGCGCAGCACAGACATTGCGCGCATAAAAATTATTTAAAGAAAAAATTATTTAAAAAAATTATTTAAAGTGTAAAATTTCCTAAAATATCTTCGCGAGTCGCTACGGTACGTTCAGATCAGAATCAACCTCGTTACGTTTCTGAGATGCTTCGTGTATCCATGCCACACGCGCGTGAATTAACGACGCGAGAATTCCGGAGGAACTTCCGCCGAAACCGTCATTACCGTCTAATAAACGTACAACCGGGCAATTTATGTATTAACCAATTAGTCTTATTACCGGGCGTCGAAACAAACGTAACAAAACGATCGCCGTTAATTTGCCACCGACTTCCACTAATTACTGTCGCAGTTCATCATTTACCAAACGAAATGAAACTAACACCGCGTTCGTTTTAACGCCGCGAATACGACACGATCCTACAATTAATCAACCGCTACCTCAAAATCCACGATGCTTCCAACATAATATATCCATTTCTGTCATTCATTGGAAATTGTATGCAAATAGATACGTGTACGTGTGTACATGTACATATACATATACAGTAAGGAGAAAAATTGAATCAGTAACGAGAAATTTTTAAGGAAAATATTTTTTATTGTTAAATAAAGTGTGAAAACATGAAATTAAACTTTACCATCTGATTCTTTATAGTTTTACGAAACTATTTTTTTTAACTTTTAAGATGAGGTTTTCTTCCTGGCTTTTCCAGGATTTTTTCATCGTCAGATTTACAGGCTTTATCATACCTTGATATTTCGTTCATAAGCCATTTGCTTTGATAATAGCTCTAATACGTCTTGGCATAGTTTCAACCAATCTTGAGCATAGATCAGGTGGCACTTGATTTCACTGTTCTATAACACGAGCATGTAGTTCCACTAGTGAGCTTAGGAGGAGATTTATATGCTTCATGAATTTTTCTTTCACTATATATCCCATAGATTCTCGATGGGGTTTAGGTCGGGGCTTTGTGCAGGCCAATCTAATATAGGAAATGTCTGAGTAGTCAGTCAATTAATTACGCTTTTCGCTGTATTTATATTTTTGCCATATCTTGCATACATTTTGGCAAATGTTCTTTTAAAATATCTTCATACGTATACTGATTCATGATCCCTTCAATTTTGTGCAATGGACCAACACCATCTGCCGTCATACATGCCGCCCCCACAACATAACTGATTCTATGTATTTTTATTACTGCAGCCAAGAACAAATGTATTTCAAATATTAAAAAATAGCGTAAGCTTCCTCAAAGAATGACGAAATAATTCATGACACTCATTTTCATTTTATTATACTTTATTTAAAAATAAAAAATATATTAAAATATATTAAATATTATGCTTTATTTAAAAATAAAAAATATATTAAAATATATTAAATATTATACTTTATTTAAAAATAAAAAATATATTAAAATATGTTAAATATTATACTTTATTTAAAAATAAAAATAAAAATAAAATTAAAGTATAATATTTAATACTATAAAAGATAATATTTAATATTATACTTTATTTAAAAATAAAAATAAAGTATAATATTTAATATATTAAAATATATTAGATATTATACTTTATTTAAAAATAAAAAATATATTAAAATATATTAAATATTATACTTTATTTAAAAATAAAAAATATATTAAAATATATTAAATATATAAAAATAAAAGTATATTTAATTAATAATATATCAAAATAAAAAATATATCAAAATAGAAATATATCATGAAAATTTTATTCATTGGTTCAGTTTTGCTTTCAATATATATATTTCTCGCACGAATTCCCCAATTCGTTCTCGATAATGGGGGGGAAGGGAAGAAACAACGATAAAAGGAAAAAGAAAGGAGAAGGAAAAAGAATTGGCAGAGTGGGGAAAATTGACGGAGAAAATTGGATGTAGAAGGGATTAACGACGTGGAACGCACGCGTGCTGGACCGGAAACGAAAAGGAGAGGATAACGGGGGAACAAAACCCCGAGGAGGAAGAACAGTGACTGTCTGGGGGCTAATAAATGCACGTAGCTTCCCCATATGTTGCGCCGTGTTGTACAACACAGGTGAAACGAATTAGCGAAATGACGCGATATACACACGAAATAAGATACATAGATGCGTTTGAGTATTATTGAGAGAAGTACAGGGTGCGCCAAAAATCACTTGCTACCAAAGTAAATTCGTAATTGTATTACTATATATATTTTTCAATTTTCCTTCTCACGAATTTTTGAAATTTTCGAAACACAATGAAAAAAATCACGTTTGAACTTGAATTTAGTTTAAAATTAATAAAATTAGTTTTTTCTTGTATTTTGATGTTTTGTGAAGAAAAAAAAAAAAGAAAAGAAAAATAGATGGGGAGAAACTTTTGGCCAACCCTGTAGTATTTCCCGTTGGTGTTTCGTTTTTCAATTTCATTAGCAATCTGCAAGTGGTATCTTTTATTTGTTCCAGTTTATATGTGTTCTTTCGAATAATCATAGTGAAATCTAGGAACAATTCTAAGTTTACTATAATATGTGTATGTATAATGACAATGATGAATTGATCTATGGTTTATTTCGACAAGTTTTCGTTGTTTGCAAAAGTGAGTCATAAAATTAAACAACAACAACAACAACAACAACAACAAAAATAGCAAAAATATACAGAAATGGCAAATAATATTAAAGTAGTGAAAGATGGCTGAAACGTAGCAACAATGATAAAATCGTCAAACGGCTAAATGTCGCTTGGAAAGTTGAAACGGACGATTTCTAATGACCGCGCAGCAGTACGATCGATCTTGTTCTGAATATTAGCCCGCGTGATTTTCATCCTGTCATTTATTTCCCTGTCATCCCTCTGTCACGGAAAGAGGTTTATTGTGGCGATATCGGCTAAGGTGAAAAATCACTGCGCGGCGAGATATTCACCGCCGCGTGAAGACGCGTTTAAACGGCGATCTATTTCCATCAGACGAATTAAACCGCGCGGCGAATTCGGTATTAACGGGCGAATCGGTCGGTCCAAGCTTGCACGTTTTCCTCGAAAACGAAACGCTAGGAAGCTGGCCTGGAATTAGTTCAACAAGTAGCGAACGGATCTGGTCGGCTTAATCTGGAGATAAATGGCACAGATGATATTCTTTGGTCCTCCTCGGCGTTCGATTTCCGTTCGTTGGCCGTTTCAATAGATTTTTCACTGCAGGAATACAATATTGCAGTAAGAGCAATTTATTTAAAAGAAATTCGCGGGGAAGAAAACAGATTTTTCAAGTAAAAAAGAGGTAGAGGCATGTTTCTATTTTCAATAGTTGGCAAGAGAAATGAAACACGGTGTGACGATTTTTGTATCGTAACGCGACGAGATATGACGTGTAACAATTTAACGTAAATTTTCCTATGAATTTACACTGAAACATTGAAACTTTCCTATGAAATTGATAAAAAATTCTTAAAAAAAAAAAAAGATATTGTAACTTTTAATATTCGTTTTGATATTCCTTCATTACCCTGTCGCTGTAGTCTCTATGAAAATTCTTAAATCAACGGATCTCCTCGCCGCCTCCCAAGAGAGATTTGCGAATTCTTGGAAACTGTATGTTTTGCAAACTAACTCTATTAGAAAGTAACTTGGTTCGACCAGAGGTGGTGAAACTCCTCTTTCTGGCCGGAATCGAAATATCGGGCTGGCCAAAACAAGCTAGTCTGAGTCGTTTTTTCGTGTGCAAATGAAAGGCGAGGAAGGCAAAAATTTTATTGGACAATATATTGGCCATTTTGATTACCTGTTTGCCATCCTTCGGGCAATCTTTTCGAAAAAAAGAACAAAGATTTGATATCCTCAGTCAGTAGTGAAATTTAGCCAATTCTGACAGCAGAAGACTATATACACCAGATAATTTGTTTCTTTTTCATTTCGGAAGTAAGCAAAATGTGACCAAAATGTCTCTTTTTCATGCGAATCGTACATTTTTCTCATACGTGTCCATTCGTTAGAAAAAAAATGCAATGACTTTTTGCAAATTACCAATCCAATACGTCGCACTTTGATTATCGATGTCTCAGGTCAAATCCTTCATTAGTAGAGTGCGGATTTTTATGCAGATTCACGTAATTACGTTGCAAGTAAATTTGAGAAACGCGACACGCAATAGGTCTCTCTGATTTACGAACCCTCGAGAACGGGATCATCATGTATAATCTGACGTCTTCAATTCTAACAATTTCTTCTCTTTTTAAATCTACGTGAAAACGAAGAACTTAATATCTCTTTACATTTATCCAAACTCTAAAGACATTTTTTTCCGTTAACTTTTTTTTTATCGCAAAATTGCACCGTTGGGCAAGATTAGTCTCATAAAGTGATAACTTTCGCAATTACTTTATGTGCCTAACGATAATTCCCTCACATTACAACGTTGTTTGGATAGTGTCTGTCTCCCCATATGCAGACTGAACTTCGCGTGGGGGCGAATGACACGGACGTCGTTGACGAAAGTTCTAGTTCCACGAAATCGCAGCGTAGCGATCGTTCGGGACACACTGCTGTCCAATATTAATGTTTTCCGGACAACCAATGGTTTTATCATGAATTTTTCGTATCGGCGAACGAACGTTTAATCCGCGCCGCTGCAAAACAAGCGACTGTTCTCTGCTCTTGCTCCAGCACAGCGATTCTGCCTCTGTTATTACAGGAGCACGTTGACGTTATTCGGTGGGAAGCACGTCAACGGAGGGCGGTGATTTCGCCGCGAGATATCATTTAAACAAGAGAGCGGAGCTGTACGACGTTAAGCGAGTCGACGAAGCGGTATAATTTTCCAACGGGGGTGGTGCGACGGGAGTTGTTCAATTTCTTGGCACGCTCGAGGACTTGTTTGACGTTTTAGGAATTTATCGGCGCTACGAACTTGCCGACGTTTGATCTCGCGTATTATACCATCGTTCTCGTTGATGAATTCCGCCAACAAATAACGAAGGGGTTCGGTTTCGAATACTCCTCCGCTCCTGCGATCTCGGTGAGTCGGGTGCGGATTTACGCGCGTTTGTGAGAAATTTCGAAATACGAGAATTTTCATGGCGCTTGTAAAATTAAAAAAAAAAAAAAAAAAGAGAGAAAGAGAATGTACGGAAATAAAATATTTAAGGGCAAATAATTATATTCTGGCAATCCGGCTTGAAAAAACCATTTTTTTCTAAGGGAACCATGGTACATTTTGGTATGCAGTTTTCGCCACACAGATTTATTTATATTTACAATTTTTTTTTTTTTGAACGAAATTAATGAAAGTTGTGGAAATTATATAGACTTATATAGGTAAAGTATGTTTTTAAAAACGGGTTCAACAGTGGCTGACGTGATATCCGGTCCACCTGGTTATTTGAAACTAAAAAACCAAAATGCATCTTAATTAGTATAAATGTGGCTATCGTATGAATCACAGAAACAGCGAAATTTCGAAAATTTAAAAAAATGGCAGCATTTTGAAGTTTAAATATCGATTTTCCTTGTGCTTTTGGTCTTTTGGGTGGTAAAAAGAATAGAAAAAAACATCCGTGATTGAAATTTTGATTGTGAATCCGTGGTTCATGCGATAAAGGTACATCCGGTGAAGATCTTTTCCAAATTTCAAGTCAATCGGTTAACATAAGATATCCCGTCAGCCAAAAGTATAGATTTGAGAAAAACGCATTTGAAATCTCTGTTACCCGTTGTACAAAAGTATTTATACTTACACTCAATCGAGCAGTACAAAAAATAAAATATTATAAAATAATAATAATGTAAAAATAAATAATAATATTATAAAATAAAATATTTAATATTATAAAATAAAATAAAATAAATAATAATATTATAAAATAAAATATTTTTCGAGAAAAACACATTTGAAGTTTTCGTTACACGTTGTACAAAAATATTCATACTTACAATCAATCGAGCACTACAGAAAATAGAATATTATAAAATAATAATAATGTAAAAATAGATAATAATATAAATAATAATACGTTGCGAGCAGTACACCATTTCCTTTAAAACATCTATAACTCTGCTAATTTTACGAATTCAAACAAATCCTTTTGCACAGACATTTTCGAAAGCATATATTTTGCAAAAATGTACAAAAAAAAAAAATTGATTTTTTCAAAC